CACTTACATGCACATATAGTTTTAATTAAAAGAGAACTATGGGGTAAGTGTTTTTCCCTATAGTTCTCTTAAGGGTCACGGGAGGACATATACTAACCTCCTCCCATGACCCAAACCTCAGTATATAGCCAGCTACAACCTGCGGTATACTGAGACCGCCGCAGCCGGGACGGATCCTGACAATGCTGTTGAGATCCACCCAGCTGCGTGAATGACAGCGGGCTCTGCCTATCTAGAGGCAGAGCCAGCTGTACCCGCCCCCTCCCCCGTCCGTTCCTCCAGTCAGCGCTGGAGTATTGGAGGTGGGGAATCCCTGACTTTTACCGCTCTCTGCAAGGAGATGATCGAGAAGTGAGCGAGCGACGGTATGCGTTCGCTCACTTCCCGATCTATTGAGCCGACGTGTGACAGATTAATTGTCACATATCTGCTCAAACTGTGAGGATGAGTGATCTTCACTCACCTCATAGTTCTTTAAGCAACAAACAAATTAAACACTTGCAAGGGAAAGGCTTTTTTCATTTGGAAAAAAAGGCATAAACAACATGAATTGAAGCTGGCCATTGTAAGCACCCCCAGCAGTGCTGTGTGGTTTGTCCCACAACTGTCACTTTTTGTGGACAGCTGGGTCTGCATAAAATGTGGGGGGAAATATAAATAAAGATCTGAAAATTAAAACAGGAATTCACATACTGAATACTACTATTGAAGGTATTAATCACATGCAGTTACCAGAATACAACATTTTCATCCATAGTGGTCATTTAGGGTCCATTCATACTATAGCCGTGATAGTGTGCAATAATTGCACGGTATTGTGTTAATAACACAACGCTGTGCTGTGAATAGGCCCTTAAAATAAATGGCAGGAACATCTATATGTACCAATAGAAGCAAGACCTCTAAATATATGTTTAGTTATGAGTCATTTGTTTCCAGTTTCTTTATTCCAAAATTGCCAATGGTCTACTATCTATACTTATGATCATGTATTATTAAAGTATTATTCTTTCCACCATGGTACCTCTGCCTTTAAATGGTCCGTGGAGTGTCTGAGGCACATTGCATAGCCAGTTAAGTCAGTGAGACCCATGTTCACCATTGAAAAGTCATTAGTAGAAATGCTGCTTATATTATATCATGTATTGGTCTTCTACTAAAGATTGTCAAGCATAATGTAGTTTTCCTAGAACAGGGCTATACATGGTGTAATTTATTTCTAATAAGCAAATTGTAATCGAAAATGTTGTTGTTTTTGGAAGATTAACAAACTAGATATATTACAGAAGTCAGATACTAGAGTATTTAATTGTAAACATCTATGTTCTATTATTTGCTCCCAATTCTCTGAGTTTGGGTGGCATTAAGATAGCTGTGGTTATATGTTCACATCAGCACTCCAGTTCCACCAACTCACTGTTCTAATATTTGCAATTTTGTATACTTGTAGATCTTGTAACCTTCTGGGCCCTGTATTTTATTTGTTTTTGCTGTAAACTGCCCAAAGACCTCTTTGGGGCAGACATACTTTCCTTACAGCTTTTGCTGCTGCACAAGGGCCTAAAAGGACAAAGAGGTTGTACACAGAGGTCCCAATAAAAGACCCGGTGATATTTTACAGCTAATTGTCTTGTCCTCTTTGCGGACTGGTCCATAGGTGCTCATAATACCAGTATTAGCACAGGTGAAATTAGCATAGAAAAGGATAGAGTCTAGCAAGGCAAAGCTGCCCTTACATTACTAATACATACTAGCTGGAGACTCCATGTTGAGAGGGTTTGTACATATATACAGGAAGTCCAAACCTTTTCTTTGCCGGAGGCCCTTTGCAACGCTAGTCTGCCATTGTGGCTACTGTATTTTCTTGGCAGAAAGAGCTGCAGGACATGAGACCTTCCTTGGACCTGGGGCGCAAAAACGTGCCATATAGGCTCACCTCATATGTCAAACGTAAACCCTCTGGGTTAAGCTCTTTCTTTTGATAAGTATGTTTTAAATAGCAAACCTGTTTTTCACCTTTCAGATGACCTTTGATCCTGAGGTTTTCTTTAATGTACTCCTGCCTCCGATAATCTTCCATGCTGGATACAGTTTAAAGAAGGTAATATAATCACTGTAATATGGACATTATGTATAAACTAGAACTCCTACCTTCTGTCATTAGAACATTGGCTCTTTCACGTTTTCTGAATGCATGTTGTTGTGTAACAGATCTCTGCACTAGCTACAACAAATTGGGGGATGGGGGGGGAGTGGGGATACACAGATACGTCTGGGCTTGAGGCTCAGATGCGTGAAATATCAACTGTTTTAAGCTACACTTCATGTGTGTTAGTGAGTTTGCTCCATTGCAGCAGCTGGGGAACAAGAGACTATCCATCATAAGTGAAACAATGACACTTACGGTAATTTATGTGACTTAGTCATATTGCTACAGATGTCTATGAATAGTAGAGTGCAGGTTTGTCTGTATGCCTGTGGGGTTGTTGAAACATCAGTTGCTTCCTCCATTATTTCCTGAATCTAAAAGGACTGGTTTATCAATTTTTTCAATGATCTTCTCTGAGCTTAAATCGGAACGTCAGTCAAAAATACCGGTAACAAGAAACAAATAAATAGCCCTTTAACCCTTTTACTGCCGCTGGCGTATGGCATACAGCGGCCACAATGAGCCCTGTAAGCAGACTACTTGCTGACTGTCGGCTTTATTTTGACATGAGCAGCCGTAAATGACTCCCACGGGCCATCAAAGTTGCGTCCCTCCTCCCCGCCCTGTATCCCAGACTTTGCTTCCCCTTCTGCAGAGAGGGACCAGCATGGTGGGTGTGGGTTGCTAGAGGGGAGGGTGACTAGCAAAACTACCTTTGAATAAAGCCAGAAGCAGCAAGGATGTTATCACTTCTGGTTTGTGAGCTGACATTAGGGGTCTAATAGACTCCTAATGGCTGCTTAAAGAGAATCTGCCCCCCCATGTCATAGTAATAAAATTAAGTAAGAAAAAAAGGTTTAAAAAATGTAAGTTATATAAGAAATAGGAAAAACATTCGAGTGCGTGTGTAAAGTAGCCACTGCTCCAAGCTAGTGATGGACTACAATCTCATGTTTAGTTTACTAATTTATATCGAGATAGTATTCCATCCCGTGAGTGAGCTTGGAGCAGTGGATACTTTACAACACACACAGGGACCATGGGGAACAAACATAGCCCCCCCGTGTCAGCACCAATTCAGAGATGATTTGAGGAACTACAGTTGAGTGATACACAAATAAGATACATTTGCAGGGCTTGAAAAATCCACTCGTCCACTCGTCTGTGACGAGAGGATGGTGGAGCCCGACAAGCAGCTTCCCGGCCGGCCATTGTAATTACATGGCCGGCCGGGAGCTTAACACACTCAAGCGATCGAGTGTCTCTGCTGACGCTCGATCACTTGTATTAGCAGCTGTCACTGCCGTTGCCGGTCCCAAGATCCGCTGTGCCCGATGCGGCCAGGACCGGCACGGCTCTGTGACAGGAGATCAAAGGGGGTTCAGTATACAAACTCCCTTTGATCTCCTCTCAGTCCCTGAATGCAGGAAGTGATGTATATTACATCACTTCCTGCATTCAGTGTCACTCTCCAGCTAGAGAAGCTGATGAAGCCGATCTCTGCTTTATCAGCTTCTCTGGGGGTCCCTAGGTGACATTAGGGGTCTTCGAGACCCCTGATGTCTCCATAAAGAGGACCTGTCATGTAAATTGGCTATCTACTAGGGGGCTTTTGTGTAAAAAAAAAAAAGAAAAGTAATACAAAAATTTAAGAATCATGAAAAAAAATTAAGAAGCATAACATTTTTTATAAAGAAAACATTTTTTTAAGGCCCCGCCCCCCACATACGCACGCAGATATGCGTCGGGTGCGCCTACGTGCGAAAATGACGATTGTGCCGCACATGTTACATATCGCCGCAAACGTGGGGGTGAGAGTAATAATTTTAGAGCCATTAATCACTGATAACACTAAATTGATGAGCAGTAAAAGCTTTTAATCGTCGCCTAAGGAGCGTTTTTTGCAATTTTGCGGGCGCACGCAATTTTAAGGCTTGACATGTTTGGTGTCTATTTAACCGACGTGACCCCGACTTTTATGTTTTACTAAAAATATGGGTAAGAAGAAATGTTTTATAACATAACGTAGGGAAACTTTTTTTTTACATTTATGGTACTTTTTTCATTATATAGTATAAAAAAATAACCCCCCGTGGGGTCACAAAAGAAAGCTCTATCTGTCCCCAAAAAGTTTAAATTGCAAGGCTATAGTCCGATCATGCTGACTGGTGAAATTTTTGACTGACTGGTGAGACACCGTCAAATTTTTCAAGCCCTGTACATTTATGTTAATATTTAAGGTACTGGAGTGTATTTTTAAGGTTTAACTCCTGAGCTTAGTGTCACTTTAAGTCTATTTTGTAGTTTCTTTGTACATAGGTAAGTACATTTTCTCTTTCTATGTTATAGAGACATTTCTTCCGCAATCTGGGAACTATAATTACATACGCGTTTTTGGGAACTGCCATCTCTTGCATTATGATTGGGTAAGTTAATACAATGCAACATTTTTTGTTCACCTAACTTCTTCATTGTCTTTAAATGTCTTTTTTGTTTTTGTCTGCGTGTTAATGCTACAAAGGCCTACTATCTCACTTCCCTTTCTCTCTTTTTCACTTTGCTATTTAATTGTAATGTTCACCTTTCATTTGTAAACTTGTTTTCATTTGTTTTGTTTGTTTTATTATTATTTTTTGCATTTGTAAATTAATTCCCCATGCCATGTACCAGAAATTAAATTTTAGTGTCATTACAACTCGGAGCCGAAAACTGACACACTTTATCTGATGGTGTTGTTTTACAACTAGCTTTGGTCAAACTAAAAGAACAGTTGTTTTTTTTTCATTTTGTTGCGTCTTTTTTTTTTTTCTTCTTTTTTTTTTAGATTGCATAGAAAACAAAATACTTTTTGCCAAAATAATGATTTGTGTGTCCTGAAAATAAACAATATATGATTTACTTTGGTATCATAACTAATGACAAAGTTATTACCAATAGCATAAATGGAAACGTTTCCATGGTCCAAAGGGGAATTTGTTTGTTGCCATTTTTGTTATAAAGTGGCACCAAAATAATTGTTGGTACTCTCCTGTGTAGTAATGGGATTGGAAGTCAGTGGTAGATAAACAATTAGCAAAAAAAGATAAAGCTTGGCCACTCCCTTGGTCCCCTTTGTAAATACAAAAACATATATATTGTTATATAAATGTTGCTGTCTCTGAGAGGTCTGCCTTTGAATATAAACTATAAAAGAAGTATGACAAATAGAGGTTTTTAATAGTCTTTCAGATAGAACATACCCAAACATTTTGTAAAATTTCAGATTTTTAGGTAAATAAATAAAATAGAAACTCAATAGTTCGTTGTACAATTAGACACACTTAGACAAGGCCTAACTATATATATAACTATATATATCACTACACATTAGTATAGATACGATTCTAAAACATATATACCACGTATGTGAAGCCCCTTACCACCTTCTTTAGGAGTCCAATATTAAATTCAGCATTACCGTTTTATTTGTATAGAGTCTGCCATGTGATATTGCATATTATCATTTGTCAAAACTGCCGCAAATGTTTAAAGAACTCTGGTAATTTCCTTACTAACCCTTGCAGTGAGGTTACCCCTGCACTGCCAGGGTTAAATGCTCGTTTGTGTCTAAGTTCAAAAAAATCAAAGATATACTCACCCAAAGCTCTGAGCCGGCTTCTTCTTAGACTGGTCCTTCCAACGTCTCTCCCCCTCCTATGCAGCAGTCTAAGGTTCTGTAAATCCTCAACGTCTATTCACAGTGTATAGACGTGAGGAGACTGAGGAAGATTACAATGCTGCAGGAAGGGGGAGACAGGCTGGAGGGAGCACCTTGACAGCTGGCCTGCTTAGCGCTTTAGGTGAGTACATTTTTATTTTAGCACATAGACACAAATGAGCACTTAATAAAAAACAATTCCTGGAGTTCTTCTTTAAGTATACTGGAGAAGACTGTATAATAGAAAATCCAGCTAGCATGGAATATCTCTGAGTGCTCCATCCAAATGGCTCCTGGCAATGAGCGGACAGCTTGAAAGGCATATATATAGAATGGTGCCTATACAAGATGGTAATCAGAGAAAACTATAACAAAGTACTGGCTAAGGCCAAGCGGAAACAAACATTCATCTACGTGTAAGAGTATGTTATTGAACAGCCAATATGTGTAACTCCCATCCAAAGTCGAGCAGATTTTAATCATAATATCTATACCAGTTAATTTATGACATACAGAAAATGTCTCAAACTAATAGCTGCTAAAGAGCAAAAGCAATCAGTCCTATACTTGTTTATAGCAAGTGGTTTTTGGCTCCTGATAATGAGCAGGCAGAACAGTCAGTGATATAAACAAGTACTTATCTGTCATCGACTTCATTCCAACACAACATGTCAGAGACGCCCTGATATCGTTGGCTGTTGTGGGACTATTCTGCCATCGTACGCCATATAGGATTTTTTGATGAGCCTGCCTGCTGATCACTGAGAGCCAATAACCACGTGCTCTAAACAAGTATTGCCTGGACAGTATTTGCTTTTTACCAGCTATTAATTTAGATTCATTGGTCTGGTGAGCTCCTAAAAAGACATTTTCTGTATTTTATAAATGGATCGGTATATACTGTATATTGTAATGAAAATCACCTTGTTTTTGGAAGGGAGTTACAAATATTTGCTGTTCATGAACATACTCTTACAGCATTGAGATCCCTGAAATGATACAAGCATTGCTTGCCCTTGTACAAGAGCTTGCTATGAATTGGAACCTGCTTGCTGTCAGCTTTAACTTGATTCTTGTGGCTTTACTGTTCTACCCATGATTAGCGGAGGCTGCCCGCTTACCACTGGAAGCGATCTGCGGTCTGTGATCCACAACTATAGATGAATGTTTGTTTCTGCTTGGCCTTGCATTAATACTTATCCAGTTCTTTGACATAGCTCTCTTCGATTTACCATTCTATATATATCTTCTTCAAGCCGCTCGCTCTTACCTGAAAATGATTTGGATGGTACACTCACAAACATTCCTTGCTTGATGGATTTTCTAATATACAGCCTTTTCCAGTATACTTAGAGCATTGGTGGAAACTTGTGACGAAGTATAACATCCGATAGCACATGATAGTATACATATATGACTCTATAGTAATTTTCCACTTACAATTATAACTATAATGCTGCATTTTAATACCGGACTCCTAAACATGGCGGCAATCGGCTTTACATATGTGTTGTATATGTTTGAGAATCACATCTATACTATAGTATAGTGATAAGGAGTTAGTCCTTGTCCAAGTGAGTCTAATTGTGTTTCTAATGAGTTTCTATTGTAATATTTAAATTAAAAATATGATTTTTTTACAACATCTCTGAGTATGTACTATCTCAGAAAGACCATTTAACATCTCTACTAGTCTTATTTCTTTTGTTTGTATGTACAAATATTGCCCGCCCTTGCATATAAACTTATTTTTTTATTTGTATTCCATTCTGAATAAACTTTTCTATATTCACCAACAAATGTTATTAAAACTTCTTTACACAAATAAATTCAATGGAGCCCAACTTGCAATTAAGGGAAGGTTCCCCAAGGCTTTATTACATGAGATGCAACTGCAGATAAATACAATTATTCCTATCTGCATCTCATATAATAGAACCATGGGGAATTTCCCCTTTAATTGGAAGTTGAGCTTCGCTGAACTTATTGCTGCAGTCTGGATGGATCGAAGGACGATTGATCTCACTGTGTTCTAGGCTCCTTGCTGCTTATTTCATGTGGTGATGGACATTCACATTTTCAGGGATTCAACCTTCTCTTACATAAATCAGCTTGTGTTTATGTTTAGTAACCCCTTAAAGTATACTTATGGAAGAAGTCATTTAAAGGGTTACCATACCAGAGGACAAAAAATGCATGATGTTGAAAAGCTACAAAACATTTAAAAACGAATACCATTTCTACAGAAACTGAAATATTTGACATATACAGGCAGTTCCCGAGTTATGAACAAGATAGGGCATGGGTAAGCAACCTTGACACTCTAGCTGTGGTGGAACTACAAGTCCCATGATGCATTGCAAGACTCTGACAGCTACAGACCTGACTCTCAGAGCAGAAGCTTTATGGGATTTGTATTTTCACCACAGCTGGAGTGCCAAGGTTGCCTATCCCTGAGATAGGGACTGTAGGTTTGTTCTTAAGTTGAATTTGTATGCAAGTTGGAACAGGTACATTTTGTTAAGTGTAAGGCACTTACACACAACGCAAGAGCAAAATTGTATATTGCGTATATACGCATCTATGCGCGTATATACGAGCGTCTATGCGCGTATATACGAGTGCATATGCGTGCACTATTTGCATTACCTGAATGCATCATTCCTAATAGAAATTTTAATGAGCTGTACGCACATACGCTCATATACGCGCGTATAAACGCGCAAACATGAGTATGCGTGTAAAATATGCAGAAATACGCTGCCCGAACGCATCTCGGTTCCATTATGGTTTTGCGCATTTTTACGCTGCGCAAATGTACGGCTCCATATGCGGCTATGTGTATGAAGCCATTTATTTGCATATGGTACAATACGCGCGTATACGTGTGGTAGTGTGAATGAGGCTTAACTCCAGGCCCCAAATTTTTTTTAGTTTTGAAACGCATAGGGAAGGATTAACCCCCTGTAGCATTTGTTTTGCTGTATGTGCCCCTGTTCAGAAGATTTCACCTCACTTTCTGTCCCTGTGACAATTGGATTTTAAAAATTGGAAACAAGGATCGGTGATAAAGCTTCAGTGGAGACACCTTTTTCCCATGATAACTCTTATAGGAGTGCATTTCCCTTCCTAGGGGTAGATTTTCTCTCACTTCCTGGTGTCTCAAAGACAGTAAGTGAGATTAAATCTTCTTAATGAGGATACAGACAGCAGTTAAAACCTCAGTGACCCAGAAGAAGAGGCGGGCACCCCTCGCCTGCACGTCTAACAAGAGCCAACTTCCTGTAATGTACATACAGTACTATGAACCGGACTCAAAAAGGCGGCACTCCTCGCCAGCACAAGCATGGTAGCATTACAACGACTGAAATGCTGTGCGGTACACTATGGCTGGAGCCTGGGACCCCCTGCTGTACACTTATAGCCTCCGTTTGCAAGTAGGGGTCTTTTGTAAGTCGGATGTTTGTAACTTGGGGACTGCCTGTATGTAAAAATGCTTTGCAGTCTGTAAGAGCTGACACATACATTCTGAGCTCCTTGGGTGGAGCAATCATGCAGCAAGCAAAGTCAGTGGGAAGTCAGAACTCTGGGCCAGAATACAGGATTGAGATTGCATTAAATCCAGTGCATCTGCATGACAACTAAGCAACTAGTATTTTCAAGAAATCTGAATAGGAACCTGTATGCTCTTTCCACATACTGTAGGTTGCCTTTGATGTATGTTGAATA